TAGTCAGTTCCCTTCAACTAATCTGTTATTATGGCAAAACTGCTCATGTGTTTTATGTAGAAATAAGACTCAATTATCTTTGGGGCACCTACATGCAAAAAACACAACTCACCTCTACAATAATAATATGAGCATTTCTTTGTTCTCTTTTTCTATTTATGTATGTATGTATGTATGTATGTATGTCAGCAAAAATAGCCACCATTCAGTGAACACATAAATACATAAGTACAGGTACTTTTTACATATATTACATAATCTTCAAAATCAGAACCAACAAGATGTTTGTTTTTGTTACCACATTTTTACAGAAGAACAAACAGAGGTGCCAAGAAATTAAGTAGCATGTCTAGGGTCTTACAGCTATGTGATAGAGCAGGATTCCAGACAGCAGTTCCAGTGGAATATGGCAGATGTGAGGAGGCTGGGACCTCTGTGACATACACCTCATACTCCATCACAGCATGAGCTGAGTGAGCCACAGTTACTTGTGATATTTTTATTTTATTCCACTTGTGCGTTTTATTAAGCCTTTGGAGTAGGCAAACATTGAAGTTGAGAATATATAGCCTGTCTTCCAAATGGCACTAGTTTTCTTCTCTGAACTCTTTACTGATGTTTTTAAAAATGTGGTTTTTTTTGGATTTAGAATCTTTTGTTAAGCAAGTTGTTGACATGCAAAAAATTACTATGTCTGGTTATCTTTTTTGTTGGTTGTATGGTTTAATTTTTGTGTTTTTGATGCAAGTCTAGAAAATAGATTTGTATCATAAAAATACATACACACCTATATACATGTATACATAGAGGAAAAAATATTAGTGCTTGTTATAGAAAACTTAGGAAGCACAGAAAGAACACAAAAGAAATTAATCTTCCCTAAAATCGAATATTTAGCCACCATTAACTTTTGATCTGTGGCCTTCCAATACACATTTTTATTGTCAAAAATAATAACCTGCTATATTTTTATAGTACACTGATTTTTTTCCTTTAGCAGTATATAATGAACATTTTCTATGTTAACAAATATTTTTCCACCACTGGGTTTTGTGAGTAACTTGATAGCCATCATCTAAATGTGCTGTAATTTAATTTTCCTGATCTTCCACATTTTGTTTGCTGTATTATTGCTGATGATTTTCATATGACTTGTGCTATTATTGGCATTGGAAATCATAAATTAATTCCTGGACATTAATATCTCTGAGAAGAATAATTTTTGAATCATTTTCACTCAAACTATTTTACAATTTTGAGACCTTAACAAAAGACACCTTAACTGTTACCTGGGGTAGGCTCTGATGGGCCACATCTCTTCTACAGCTTTCCTCACAGTGAGCAGTCGCTGTTCCAAATGTAAGACCAAAGCCTCTGCTCTTCCGTGAATATCCTGCTTTATATGCTCTTGTATTAGGCATAAGGAACTAGATTCTGACACAAATAGATTTTGAAAAGTTGCTTCCGAAATCTTTAGAAGCACTGTACTTCAGTCAGCGTGGTTGAGAATTTGGGAAGGAAGTTGGAGGCAGGCTGCCGGCAGGATAGCGTAGAATGCCACTTAGCTAGTAGAAGCCAAGTCGTGAATGCAGACAGGCAAAGCGTGTTCTCTGATTTGTGTGCGACAGTTATTCTAATTGATTTCTGCATACTTGTGGATAGGGATCTGCCCTCTTCCATTTATTTTTCTCTTGACAAGTAGGATGTGAAATGTTGTTCCATGCCTTTCTAATTTAAATGTTGCACATGTTGAGAACTGATCTTGCCAGCCATTTTAAGCTTGGCCAAAAACATAACACATTGTTGTTATTAGCCTTCATCCTTTGGTTAGGGCCAACATTCTGTTTGGAACTCTAAAGGAGTATAAATCTCCTTTATAGGCATAACCTATTTCAGCCATAAAATAGATAAAATGAGACAGCAGAGCTAAGTTTCCTTGGTGAGTTGCTTTGGTCAGCCTCCGTGGGCTGGCAGGGTCAGGGATGTTCGTTTTCAGAGTATTCTTAGGAAGCAAGATTTCAATTTAATTTGCCTTTTATATGAATATACTCCCCAATGTGCAAGGTACTTTAGGAAGTACTGTAGGAGAAACTAAGATGAAGATGACAAGGTTCATGTTCTTTATCCAGCCGAGAAAAAGACTTGGAGGACGTAATATAAGGCGGTGTATAAAAGCATGTTTATCAAAGATCAGAGAGAGCTTAGAGAAGCAAAACATTCCCTCACAGCTTACGTTCAGGGTATGGACAATGTCCTTGAAGCCATCTGCAGCCCACTCTGCCTGCCGGCTGAGAGAGCCCTCGGTCTCGTACACGTGTGCACCACTATTTTTCAAATGTCTGTAGAGGCTCTGGTGCTCAGCAATGCTTTTAAATGGATTTTTGTTTTGTTACCCTTATTGTAGCTATTGTCATACTGTGTGTTTTTCAACTAGTAGATGCTACACTCAAAGTCCCATCATGGGAATCTGTAAAATTTTTTCATGTTAAAAATAGGTTCAGTTATTTGAAGATTGGGAACCAATGTCTACAGGAGTGCTATCCAAAAGAACTTTATGTAATAGGGGAAATGATCCCTATTGTCCAATACAGTGGTCATTTACCAACTGCAGCCCACGAAGACATGAAATATGGTTAGTGAGATGGAAGACTGAATTTTAAAAGTTTTGTGTGATTTTAGTTTAAATTTAAGTGGCCACACATGATAGAAGCCACCATATAGAATAGAGACAGTGCAGATCTAGAGTCTCGCTGCATCAGTAATTTTCTGAACCCTGTCTCCACAAAGTTTTCCCTGTTCTACCTCCTCTTAGTTTGTTTGCAACCCACAGATGTGTTTGAATACCAGGCCCATTTTCAAGTTGTCTCTGTTTTCAAAGTTCTTTAGACCAAGAGAAAAAATGCCTAATAAAACAATTTTTTAACTTTCCTTATCATAGCAATAAAAGGCATTATACTTTCCCCTTTTCTGTCACTTTCATCTGATTCTCAGGGGCCTTGAAGAGATTTCAGTACATTTGGGACACTTGAGCTAATTGTTTTCATATTTGGTTTGTTTCAAAATTCATACAGCATAATCCTTATTTTAAAGGTTGTTTATTTGATAGGCAGGGCAGCTATAAATAATTAAAATAATATTAGAAACAGATCAAAATGTTATTTGGTGCTCTCATTAGACAAGAAATTTTCCTTCTCATGTGTTTTTCTGTTTTTAAGGGTAACCAAGTGATCTTCCTTCTCTACCTTACTCAAACAGTTAATACAATTTATAGTACTTTCAAGTTATATATCTTTCTCATGACTCATAACCTTGAAGTCTTTTAAAACCATCATTGACAGTAGCAATATACATTATAATGGCTTCTTTTAAGGCAACAAAATCACAAGAAGATGGCCAGGTATCTCTGAGCATAAACTTTACCATTTATATTGTAATTGATATTCATTGTAAATACAGTTCTAGTTTTGATTGCTGCTAGGTAACTCTCTTACCATTACATTTCCCAAAAGATTTTTGTCCTGTACTATTTTAAAACAAGATGCAGAAAGAAAGCAATGGTTTGTCAAAAACGGAAAATGACCCAAAGGTTTTGGAACACATACTATGAGGAGTTGCCATCAAAATGATAAATTCCTCTCATGGACCATCCTGGAAAGCAGTCATTGTAGTGAGGTCTTTCTGTCTAGGAGGACTTTCTATCCCAGCTACCCGCTAGGGGTGACAGCCATATTATTGTTCTCTTGCTTCTTTCTGGGTAGCTCTCTCCTACTTTCCTCATCTTTCTTCTTTGAGGCCAGAGGCTTAGAGGTTTCTCATAATATCAGATCGAGATTTTAAATGTTTCCATTGCTGGCCGAGAAGTCCAAATATGTCCTTGCAGCTCCTGCTGGCCTATACATGCTGTCTCTACATGTGCCGACAGGAGAGGAAGCTTAGAGGCAACTGGGTGATGCCCGAAGGGTGTAAATCCCCAGCTAGTTGACAACAAAACGCTGATAGTAGAATCATAATCCCCATTCCACATATCAAGACTCTTCTACACTTCTGCTCTATCCTTCTTTTATAAATTTCTATTGACAAAAAAAAAAAAAAGAAGAGAAAGAAAGAGAAGAAAAAATCCAGACAATTGTTTCTGACATTAAAAAATTCGAATATCTTTTGTGGCATTTCCTTTAGTTGAATTTGTCTCATGTTAATTAAGCAGATCCCGCTGTGGTCTGCTGATCTCCTTTTTAAAGCCTAGTGGTAGTTGTCTGAGGTGGTCATAGGTTCATGCCATGATATTTTGGGGCTGGAAACAAAATACTGAAGAATGCAGCACCAGGTGAATGCCAGCCAGAATACCAGTTCATACCCATTCTTTCCCTACCTTCTCACCTCCTTGGTAGAAAATAGGAATGAAGAAGTATAAGCTAAGACCCCTATAGTCTTTAGGAGAGGATCTAAAAGAACATCGCAGTCTAGGGTCTACTGCACCTTTCCCTCAGGCCGCCACCCTTCCTCTCTCCTGTATCTGAGCAGCTATGGATGGCTGTTTTCAAAGAACAGAGTCCTTCTCTTTGGCATATCTGTATAGAAAAAAAAAAATAATGGGCAGTACTAGTCAATCCCAATCTCTAGAGCTGTTGATGAGTCATACAACTCCATGACCTTCATGTGTCCATTTTATATATTTTCTTTCTGGTTACAAAATTATAGCAAATTATTGTGTCTTCTACATTTTCCTTTATGCTGTTTGAGTCTATATTTATTTCTTTGATTAGAGTATCTTAGCCTGAAAGCCTCTGATCTTCACTGTAGGAAACTAGTACAAGGCTAATCATCTGTCAGCAAACCTTGAATTGCTGGATATTTTAGTAATTGCCTTCAAATGTAGTAATGAGATTGCAGGTTTGATGAAATGCTTATAAATGGTGGCTTTAGGGAAATCAACCTATTTCAATATTGAATTCCAAATTACTATGTATTAACACATCTGTCTCCTGACTTTTTTATTTCAGTACCTACTAGAAATGAAAAGTTTAATCCTGCCCCCAGAACATATCCTGAAGAGAGGAGACAGTGAAGCAATAGCATATGCATTCTTTCATCTCGCCCACTGGAAGAGGGTGGAAGGGGCTTTGAATCTTTTGCATTGTACGTGGGAAGGCAGTAAGTAATTTTCTTTCTTTGAAACATTTTTTAAGAACATGAAAAAGTGCTTAAACTGTTTTTGCCCCAAGTGTTCCTAATGAGTGATGAGGATTTGCATGTCTTGCTCTGTTTTCTATGAAGGCCCATCACTAAGACAGTTAATTACTTAGGTGCTCCAGTTCTCTAGTAGTGGTGGGTATGTGTCATCAAACAATGCCATAACTCTAAGACTTGGAAGGCAAATTTATACAATAGATTGAATAGATCTGGACTGTTCTGGAGAACCAGTCTACTATCCTAAAAACTTTCTTAGGAGACTTGGACATTTCCTTAATATCATAAAATCTTTAGCATGGAATTAGGCTTTGTGCTAGACTCTGATTACCATTTCTTGATGGTCTTTCTAGGAGAGCTGGATAAAAGCCACAGTAGTTCTACACTATAGCTAGGTTGGCCATCTGCAAGGGCAAGACAGGTATGTTTTGGAACAAGAGCAGAGGCTGCTGGACTCTGGCGTGTGGTGGGAAGTGTTGCATTGTTATAATAGATATATTCCTGGTATGTTGATGGGGGAATAAATATGTCTGAGTACAAGCTCCGTACAGATATTATTCATTCTGTGTAACCTGCTCTGTTGGCAGGTTAAACAGTCTCTTTGTCCTGGAGAAGTGTGTAGTTGAGTTGGGAGGAATGACCGGCAGCAGGTGGCAGCTGCCTGGTGATTTCTCCAGGGTGGAGCAGCCCTGGGTAACCTTATGAATCAGATGAGATTTGAACTGAGCCTTGATGGACCAGGACAGTAATGTAAGCAAGGACACAAAGTGAAGAAATGGTCATAAATGGGGCTGTTTGGGAGAATGTAAATTAAGGAAAAGCCCTAAGATTATTAGACAACACGTGCATTAAAATTCTGCTAATATTAATTTAAGCAAAACAAGCACAACATGTACCATGATTTTTTTCTCTCATAGGAAAACAAAATGATAAATATTAGAATCTTCTGATAATTTTTCCCTAGTTCACCCCTGCACTGATCTGCCTCACAAACAAGTGTCTTTTTAATCTTTTCACTCTGTTTATCTTTTCTGCTTCCATTTTCATTTTGATAATCTTCTTCCTTTTCCTGCCCTTCCATAGCCCAGCTAGAATCCATCTTGATGCAGGAAGGGAGGTAGCAGGGAGCAAAATGGGATTGAGTAAAAATAAGTTTTGGAGAGATGGGACTCAAAGCATATTGAAAGTTTTTTATTTAGTGGTTTTGACATATTTCTTTAGAGAATTAATAGTGGGTTCACTTATGTATTTTACTATTTATAACTTGATGGATGTTGCGTTTACCAATGTTGCCACCCCTACTTGTAAGTGTAATAACATACCCAGGTAATCTTGTCAGCATCACTAATCATATTTGGATATGTACAACAGCACACTCCACCAAGAGTGTGTGGGTACATGCACAATCCCCTCTGGCTTGGGATCCTTAATGCACTTAAGGTGTTCTAACCAAAAAGGACAAAAGAATTTTTTATCAAAACATGAGAAAGCTCCTGAAAAGCTCAGCAGATTTGAATACAAGAAGCCTTATCTAGTGTTAGTTGTGGAAAAGATAGAGAAATTGGTACCAAATAAGAACGTATTTAGAGATTGGCATTTGATCTAATTGATTAGATTTAACCCTGTAAAAAGAGCCCAAAGAGGGGTGAGGCAAGTTGTGATAAAGATATGGTATTAGGAATGATATCATCATAAAAATTAAAGTCCTTTAGGGAATAACTGAAAATTCTCTTTGTAAATTAGTAACCCAATAATGATGGGGAGGTGCTCTGGATCAACTGGGAATGATAGTGACATATGAATACGGAAATGTGAATAGACATAGGAATCTGCAAAATCAAGCAGAGGAATACTATCAGGGAGGTGTGATTGCCTCAATTTAGACTGGCAGAATGCTTTATTATGATAAAAAGAGGGGGGCGAACTTGTAGGCATAAGCTATATGTCAAGAAAACCATACCTATAGGAAAAGGAAATTTGACCTTTGATCTTTATCAATAAAAAGTTCCTGTGAAAATCAGGTAGCTGTGATCCCACCCAAAGTCAGTTAATTGCCAGTTTTCAAAGATTTCCAAGACATCTGACTTCAGAATGAGAACCATAAGAATGTCTACCATGTGCTAAATGCTTCAGAGGATGTACACTGAAGCAGCATTTGTATAACTGGGTGATTTATAGAGGATTTGCATTTGCATCATTTCACTAACCCTTCCTGATAGTCTTCTAAGTTAGGCAGGACAGAAATGTCAACCTCAATTTCTCAGAAGCAGAAGAATCATTAAGATGAGTGATTTAAGGCTGGGGATATAGCTCAGTTGGTAGAGTGCTTGCCTCCCATGCACAAGGCCCTGAGTTCAATCCCCAGCATCAACAAAAAAAAAAAAAAAAAAAAGAGGGACTTGTTGAAGGTCTTGAAGTCCTGTTGGTAGGGCCAGTAGGTAAACCCAGGTTCACTTTTCCTTCATTGCATTGAATAGGTTAAGGATACAGATCAGCCAATTCTGAGATAGTTGCTAGAAAGCCCACAATTTAAATTTACATCACTACTTACAGGCTAGGGCATATTTCTGACAGCTGGTTCCTTTCTAGTGTTTAGAAAGTTAACCATTCTGTATAAAATTATATTTTCTTGTTTGATATTAAGTTAAACATTTCAATATAGAATGAGACAAAATTTTATAAAATAAATAATACATATGTATAAACAAAGGAAAGAGACTGGAAATAAATACCCTTAACTGTCTTAAGTGGTTACTACTGAGTTGTGGATAAGATTTTTTTCCCCTTAATATTTGTACCTTTCAAATTGCCTACAACAAGCATATGTATTTTCAACAAGCATATATATATATATATATATATATATATACACACACACACACACACACACACACACACATACATACATACACACACACATATATATATGCTTAGAAATATAATGTTTATAGTTTTAGAAATATAATCTTTCATTACAAGTGCTCTTGGTTACTATGAAAAAAAAAAAGCTATAGGTCTGCCATGCAATTTTTTTTGTAGTCAGTAATTTTTTTTAAGTCTTAACACAAGTAATTGTATAAATCAATATACCTCATTGTGGCATTTTTGCCATGCAGTTTAGAAGAAAGAATTACCACTCAAGCTCCGGACAATTGTCTGCAATCTCTTGACCTCACTTCTAGATCTGTGTTCATTCTGAATTACATTAGAGGTTCAGAGTTCTGTATTTTAAATTAGAGGACTTGGATTAGAATTCTGACTCAGCTGCTTTAGTAGTGTTTACTTAACTTACCTAATTTTGGGAAACCATAAAGCACTGATGGCATTTAATGCCTACCCTCCTCCAGTTTAGTGGCTTCAAAGTAGTTGCCCCAGCTCCCTCTCAGGAGGTCTGCAGGCCTGGCCTGCATCCTGAGCCTGAGCCCAAGAGGCGCACTTCCCCCAGCGCACCACTTGGTGGTGCCTCTTGACATCTCAGCCTCATCAGTTAGGTTTTGTCCTCTGAATCATATTTTTCTTCATTCTGAAATTCAAAGCCATTCCTCAACTCTCACCCAACTTCCATTTTTCATTAGAAAGAGAATATAGGGAGAAGTGTAATACTGTCTAATTTCAGCAGATTCAACATTAAAAAATCATTATTAGATTATTCTTTGGAAATTTTTAAAAAGTCAGTTGGTTAAAAGTGTTGGTTAAGAGGTAGTGGTGGGGTTTTTTGTTGTTTTGTTTCTTGATTGTTAATGAATTTATTATGTTAGAGCATTAGTCATCCTGTGTAATTAAGTGAGTTTTCCATCAATCAGGCTAAAAAACTCCTATTTTTGATAAAACCCCAAAGTCTTGCTAATGTATAACAGAGATTGTTTGGGTTTGAAACATATGGTAGTTAACGGAAAAAAAAAAAATCCTGAATCTTCAATCACAAATACATCAGCATTTCAAAGGTTTCCAAAATGTTTGATTCATCACTGTACCAGCCCCTGAAATTACACAATATGTTCCTCAAAGTCAAGATAATTAAGAAAGGGGGAAAGTTTTAATTTATAAGATTTTATAAAATGTTTCTTGGATTATTACACAGCTGCCACCTTATCTGAATTATGCTTATTTTAAACACTGCAGGTTCTGGTTATCCTCAAACACACGCACCCCTGCCAGTATGAGCTGAATATAAAAAACATATATGAATGAAGGGTCTCATTTCAACTCAGTCTTATTTACAATGGTATTGCTCCTTATGGGGCCCTGTTTTAAATGGCACATCTTCTGCTTTACCTGTATTAAATACTGATGTGCTCTTATCTCCCTCCTACTGTCATCTTTTCAAGGCTCTATTTTGACTCTATTTATTTTACAAAGCCAGGTCATCTCCCGACCACAACTGTGAACTTTAATTTTCTCATTCTATATATCAGAAGACTAGTATGCCATGGGGTAAATCACTTAGCCTTTGTTTCTTTCTTTTTTTCCCTTAACCAATTATTTTCTTTTTGAAGTCCCCCTACCAAGAATCCACTAAATATCCACTAAATAATGTATAAGATTTGAAGATGGTGTTTTTTAGGGGGACTAAGGCAGGGTATTTCCTTTGAGAGGGGAAAATGGCCCATTGTTGAAGCATAGGATGAGATTGTGTGATTCTAATTTATTCTCTTTGAACCTAATGGCAAATACCGCTCCCTGTAACATGTGGTTCTTAAGCATTTCCTCCAAGCAAACCTTTCCTCCATAAGGCTGGCACCTTTTGGACTACTAAAGAGAGGACCCACCCTGTCCTCCAGTAGATTCAAGAGGAGCATAATAGATCCATTGTACACTTTATAATTTGGGAGGAAGAATGAATGGTCATGGCTAGCTTACCCTGAGCCAGTTCCCCACCCACTGCCCAGCACAGCCAGCTTGCTCCTTCCCTTTGGTCAGTGTGATGGTTAATCTGAATTGTCAACTTGATTGGATAAGAGATATTGACAATAAGAGGTTTCTGGTTGTCTCAGTGAGCATGACAGCCTCCCAAACTGAATGTATTCAGATACCTGAGTTGTTTTTTTGTTTTTTATTTTTCTTAAGAGATAGGATCTCCCTGTTGCCTAGGCTGACCCTCAACTTCTGGGCTCAAGCAATCCTCATGCCTTAGTCTCCCCAGTAGAAGGAACTACAGGCAGGTGAATTCTTCTGTGCCTGGCTTCACCTGAACTTTTAAAGAGACTTTGGTATTAATTTATTCATTCCTTATTGAGCAAATATTTATTTCATTTATGTGTCAGGCATTGTGTTTGGGGATAGGAAGACAACAAAGACTCTGAAACGCTTTGTGAGAAACACTAACATGTGTACACACACGCATGTGCATACAAACAAGTGTGTGTGTGGGTGTGTATGTGTGTGTGTGTGGGGGAGAGAGAGAGTGAGATAGTGTGGATACATGCAGTACTAAAATGAAAGTAGGAACAGAGGGTTAAAGAGCTGAGGGGTACTAACAAGATTAGCAAGTCCACTATCAAACCAAAGAATTTTTCTTCAAAATTAGGATGGAGCACCATTAAATCCAACTAAGGAAAAATTCTTTTCCCAAGGCTGTTTTCTTCCACTTTTAAAGTGAAAGACTGTGGATCACAAATCAGGCTTTTGACTTTTGACGTTTCCTCACTTCTGCACCAAAATGCCTCATGAAAACAGTTGGCCTTCCTGGTTGTTATTTGCATTGCAGTCAAAAGTAGAACATCAATGATGATAATTTTCTCTTCTACCATTTGTACATATAATTGTCAACAAACAAGCAGAATCTTTACTTATTAACAAGTGTGACTGAACACAGAAAACAGAAACTTTATGTTTAGTAGAGAAGGGAAGGTAAAGAGAAGCCTCATCTTTGCTGCACATCCAGGCACTGTGTATAGCCACCTCGTCTCTGCTGTTGTCCTCAGTTCATTTGCCAGACTTGTGAGGACTGCGGTGTTTTCATTTTACAGCTAAACAGACAGAGAGGAAACAATTAATGACCCACCTAGAGCCATGCACTTTTTGGTGGAGTCAGGTCCTGTTCCTGTAGATGTCACTCAGATGCTCCCATGTAGACATGCGCCACACAGCCTGTCCCTCTTCAGGGCCCTCAGCACAATGGGAACTGTAGCATTTACTTGGAAGTTTATTGGAACAAGTTCCTCGCACTCAGGCGTGAACTCTGTGAGTGCAGGGACAGGGTGTTCTTGGCTCTCTGTATGTAGGTTACATAAGAAGGCACTCACATTTTGATAAGTGACCAATTATAAGAGGTAGAACTGGGACTCAAACTCAGTTTTCTCTATTCCAAATAATCTGTATAAAATTCTCTGAGATCCTCTTTGACAAGGTAACATATACAAACGTTCAAAAATTACCTTATATTCTCATCCACATGATGGGTAGGATGAGAGGTCATTAATTTGTTCACATATCCATCCATCTGTCCGTTCTTTGGTTCTATTGATTCCCTCACTGGTATTGGTGGACAACCTCTGATTGGGACAGCACTGATAAGCTTAGAGCCTAGAAAATGTGTTTAGTCAAGGATGGAAGAAAGCAGTGTTATGCCTCAGATTTGATTGTGGAGGATAGTACGTGTTCATTAACTAAATCTCAGCTTCATTTGAACCCTTTAACTGAGATCAACGTAGGAGGAGAGGATGGCACACAAAGGAAAATGCAGAAGTGACATCCATATGCCCTGTATCAACTTGGAACAGCCTTGATGTTTTTGTTTTGTTTTAAATCAAATACATGTATATTTGTAGTTTTCTCTGAAGTGTGGCTTTTCTCAAAGATTTTTAGGAGGTCTGTAGTCATTTATAGAACAGATCTGTTCAAATGACCTTTTGTCATTCTTATTTACACCACCAAATCAGTGTGTTCTTAATTCCTGCACTTGCAAAGTTTCTACACTTTTGGCTAAAGCCATGAGGCTCTCATGGAATCGTTGCATGTCTTTACTGTGAAAAGGACCAGGCAGTGGGAGGTGAGGCTGGCAGAGCTTATGCAGTGCCTCATCCTGGCTCTCTCCAGACCTCCCTTGCTTATCTCACACTTTGTTGGACCCTGCACAGCAGGGTGGGTAAAGGATAGAATTGCAAGCACAAATTGTATTTGCTTTTGTTTAGTGAAGCCAAAAGCCTTAATATTATTTTATGAAATCAATGTAAATGACAACTGACATAAGAAAGAGATCTTAAGAGTACCATAAACATCCTTATGATCATGGGAGTAGAAGCGTAATGCAGGCCATGTGGATGGATGGATGGATGGATGGATGGATGGATGGATATTCATTATTCTTTGAATTATATATATAATCAATACTTCCACTCTCCCAAAAAGATGAGAACCAATTAGAAGAAGATAAAGACTAAATCAATGCACAAAATTCTGTATGCACACCAAGTACTGGAGAAAAAAAAAAAGTCATTTAGCATTTGACTGAAAGACACCAGCCAACCATTAGATTTCTAAGGTTAAACACTCTCAAGATCTTGTGCTCCTATATTTCATTTAAAAAATTGTTCCCTGAAGTACAAACTGACTTCAATTTTGAATAAAATTTAACATTCAAATTTATAGCCACCTTGAAAACTAAGGGTTTATTTATATCATATGAACCTGAACAGATTCTTTAATTATAGCAGCCTGGTTACACATAGAGAATCTGGATTTTAAAAAACTTCCTTGTAGGTTTTTCCACATTTTTTGGATGCTTTCAGAGAAGCCATCATTTATGGGAAATGGTATTAAGATCCTGCTGTACTATAGTTTAAATGTAAAAGCTGTGCTTCCCAGAAGAGATTTTTAGCTTATGCTATAAAAGTCACTAAAAGGTTTTTTCGTTTTTTTGGGTTTTGTTTTGGTTTGTTTTCATCTTCTTGAAAGCCTGGTTCTATTGAGAGAGATGCCAGTTCCTTCAAATGATGATTCTATATTAACAACCTGTGCAAGGAACCTCTTCTCTTGCTTGTTCTAATGGGCAAAAGTCATCTTTGTTTGTATGAAAGGAAAGTTCTGATTGAACGAGGCTGAGCCCTTCATTTTAAGAAGAGTTAAAGTCTGGGGTGTTTTTAATGTTTTAATCTCTGTTTAAGAGGTTTCTGTTATGAGAGGAAAATTGATAACATTTTTACCTCAGCAAACTGCCAGCAAACTGGCTCAGCTCTAATCCCACATTTATAGTGATTTATATTCTCCGTGGCAATGTTCTGTAACCTCACAGTGATACCACTGTGGTGTAGATTGACTGCATTCCAAATGCTGGAATCACATACATAATGTTTTTACTTTTAAATAATATTCAGACACCAGAATAAATACCATATGTGCACTGATGCTGGTTACAATGGGACCTTGTCATTTCTTATGAGGGAGAACATTCTTTGTTTCTGATTCCTGTTTGAAATAAGTATGCAAAAGATAAATATGTACATTGACAGCATTTTAAGAAGGCTTTAGTAATTACACAGCTGAGGATGTAGCTACAACTACAATTCCTTAAAATGTGGCATTTGAAACAAAAAATATTGCTATATTGCCACCATTCCTCTCTGACGCACATGAAGGCCAGGATTGTTATCTGACATTCCGAGAGTAGGGTACAGCTTTTATGTTATACATCTACCATGTGCTGGAGTTAAAGGACATCTGTTAAAGAAAAATTACCTCCATGAGCACTGTTCATAGGAACAGTGAGACTAACATGCTGATGACATTGTAACAGGGAGAATAACACACTTGATAATGGGAAAGGATGGATTGATTGGAAAGCCATAATTCAGTGTGAGGCCTAATGTCATCTGATGCCACAAAAGCAGAATTTAGGTGGCCTGACTTCATCAAAATACAGATAATCAATCTCTCCAAATACATTTTTCCCCACATGATATTGAAGATTTAAAAGTTTCATAAAGTTTAGAAATACTTCCCAAGTCATATATTTTTAGATTTTTGTTTTTATCCCTCTTGGTTGGAATTCTAATCCACTTAGACATATTTTTAAAATAGACATGGTAGAATGCCTTTCATACTTGTACATCTGTAACAAGCTCCAACAAGCCAATCCACATTTGCTTCTAGGGGAAGCATTTCAATCCAGGTTTGCATTATTACCATTGGCTGAGCTATATTGAATTAGTGCTTATAACATTTTTATAATATTTTAAAGATGATGTGACCCTAGGCATTGATATTGATGGCTTCCCTACCCCCACTGCACCTCTCTCCCCACCCTGTTCTGTGATGTTTGCCCAGAATATATAGTGTAAGATTAATGTGTGAGTAATACATCATAGTGTATCTCTGACATTTTATCTGGCACATGACTCAGAGTTTGGTAAGTCTTGCCTTCCCTGTAGGAGTGTTCCCCATTGTAAAAATGCTCAAAAGTCCCTTTTTGAAGCTGGGAAGTTATGAGACAAACATTAAACTAACATATTGTCTCTTCTTTTCAGCTTTTCGGATGATCCCTTATCCCTTGGAGAAGGGGCACCTATTCTATCCATACCCAATCTGCACAGAAACAGCAGACCGGGAGCTGCTACCCTGTAAGTTTCACCTCTTTGTAATCCTCTCTTCAGCCAGGGAAGGTGGTGTGACCAAAGGTGGGGATGGGAAGAAGTGGGAATGATAAATGTTTATAATGTTCTTTGTTTTTTATTACTTTTCTCCCAACCCTTGGCCTTGTTCGATAGCATATATATTAAAGTGAATTATGTGAGTGGGTTGGACTTCCTGCCTCTCAAAGTCTCTCCACAGTCATCAAAGAGATAGATGCCAAAGTACTGAAATGTAGAAGAGAAGGCATCATGTGCAGATTGGTCTGAGCACAGAGAACTCCAGTGTGGGACCAAGACCCACTGTGCTGGTCCATCATGGTGCAGGTCAGATGTGGTCTGCGCAGGCTAGAGATGGAAGAGAAAGGGATGACTTCAGAAGGAGCTGCAGAGGAGCTGTGGATGGGAGGGCAGCCCTTGAATGCTGGCACTACCACGAGAGGCGGAGTCGGGTGGCAGGGCCGTGTGCTTTCCGAGGTGATGCAATGCTCTTGGCCAGAGGGATTTCCCGCGAGCACCTCGTGGATTGCATGGAATGAATTGGCTAACATGTGCAGGGCACACGTGCAGCCTCAGCACTGTATGAAAGCACACAAGGAAAACCCTGCCCTCGAGTGCCTTACAAGTCAGCAGGCTAATGACCCGCACCACATGTGGAAAGTATTATTTTGGTTTACTGTAATACAACATTGTTTTGACAATCCAGGCTAAATAGTTATTATCAAATCATACTGTGTACAAAGATCATGTCCAGGCTCTTCATGTGGCCCTGACTTAGGACATATTTTCCCCCCTCGGATAATAACCTCCAAATTTTGGCTCTTCTCTCTTCTCTGTCCTTTCTGCTGCCACCTTCTCCCTTGTACCAATCCCGGTTATGCCAGTATATCATAGTTATGACACAGATAGACACTTGCCCAGAGGAATGGTGTAGCTGGGGAGCTTTGGTGTGCAGTCAGTTTTCAAATGCCAGCTATGTATCTCCTACATGGTGGTTGCTACCAGAATGAAGTGGCAGGGGGGCCTCACGTGTTTCCTTGCCAGCCAGACCCAATGTGAGATTTGTTCCCTAGGGAATTTGGAGATGTTAGTGATGTGTTTCTCATTGTCCAAGTTTTATTGTAAGAAGTGTCTGGTGCCTCACACAACATTAGATTTGATTTCAGAAATCCCCTGCTGTGGGCCCACAGTTTACCTTTTGACTCCCCTCTTCAGGGAGATCCTTGTTAAAGTTTACATTTTCTGCTAAAAAAGATGGTTTTCTGAAAAGTACAATGTTTTTTACTGTTTTAATTGAGCCCAATTAAGTTTCCATGGGGATGGATTAGCTATTAGAATAAGATTATAGTTCCTAAAAGAAACTTTATAGGGATAATCTTTATAAGCCTTAAATAGAAAATTATGGCTCACATTTATTAGATTGAATGCCATAGTTCAAGTCTGGTCTCCCTCCAAAATCTTTGGTCTAAATTTTGAGGATGAGGATAGGAAGAGGGCTGTTTATTTTAAATGATACCCATATTTTTCACATTACAAGTAAAATATTGCCACATTAGGCCCTAAGTGCACCTCTACCCTATATTTGAATCCCAGCAGATTGACCCACCTAGAAGCAGGTAGGCATGCTTGTCTGTGCTTTGTCCCTCCCTGATCATCTCTACCCTCAGTTTTTAGCAGTGTGGCTGAGGACTCTGAGTAACAACTGCCTAATGGTCAAGGAATGGCCTTTAGATCTGTATATCCCTGGGAATGGACCTCTTGGAACCTTTTGGTTAGAGGGCAGTGTTGTTCATCTGCAGTTCCCCAGCCCCCTCCACCAGGGTCCCTGGCAGCTGGTTCTTCCTCCTCTGTGCAGATAGCCCATACCTCCCCTGGTCAGCACTGCACCATGCAGACAGTCACAGGCAGTCACATAATGAGTAGAAAGAGGGAGTCGGTTCTCTTGGCTTTTGTACAACTGTTTGGTTTTCCTCAAACATAGTGTTTGAAGTTTAAAAGTTATGAAGATACTCTAAAGAACACCAGTTTTGCTTTTTTTTTTTTTCTTTCCGGTGATTGTTCTAAGTATATTAATCAGGAGTCTTCTACGGTTGTGTCAGATAACCCTAGCAACCTTGACTCTCACCCCTTGCAGGTTGAACAGGCCAGTGTGTGAGGTCCTTGCTAAGTGTCTATCAGGGCAGCACTCTCCACTTACATACTTAGAGTGTGCCAGGAAAAGTACAAGATAAACTAACATTGCCTCATTATAATAACTTAAAAATACAAGTTAAAAATGTAGACAGGGTATTTTTCAGTATGCTAACTTTGGACTTTCCAAGGCTTTGTACAATGTATATATGTTTGATAATTAAGATAAAGTTTTGTCATTTCATTTGTGTTCACTTTTGAGAAAGGAATATTTTATAGTAGACATAGTTAGTGCTGCTTTTTTTTGTCCATGAGTGTGTTTTATCCCCAAATTGACCCTGTCGTACCTCCAGCTGGAGCAGCAAAAGGCTGGGTCCGTTGTGACCTGTGGTTGTCAAGTGTTCTATCTGTTCCATTTCCCATGGGTTTCAGCCAGAGCTCTGAATAGTCAGTCCACCGGGTAGGAACTCCCCAAAGATGCTCTTTACTTCAGCCCTAACATTCCCTCTGGTCTTCTCCACAGCTTTCCATGAAGTCTCAGTTTACCCGAAGAAGGAGCTTCCCTTCTTTATTCTCTTCACTGCTGGATTGTGCTCCTTTACAGCCATGCTGGCCCTCCTGACACACCAGTTCCCGGAACTCATGGGGGTCTTTGCAAAAGCTGTGAGTGTTTGCCTAAAGGGAAGCCTCAGGGAATGGACAGGGAAATCTAAGGGAGGTAGTGGAAGAGGAATGGGGGATTGTCACACAGAAATGTTTACCAACTGCAGAGTTCACTATTTAATTTCATTATCACCAGTGGAACCAAAGGGTTAAGGGTCAGAGGGAAGTACAGGTAACTGTTGATTCATGCCTTGCTTTCTTCCACAAAATAGATTTCCAAATAATACATAAGCACAAGAACATGAAATAATTTAGGAAATCCTATTAAATGAGAAGTGGGTGGGGTCATTACTTAGTTTTGTGTACGTTAAATGGCATTAGTTCTAATCTTGGATACTGTGCCTCTACCCTTGTGAAGGATGAGATTTACATTTACAAAGATTATTTAAATGTATTTTTTAAATGTCTGCAGACCTTTGACTTGTTTGGGAATGAACCATGAGAGGGTGTGGAAGCATACAGTATTAAAATGCTGACAGGACATTGAGAAATAGGGAAATCCAGTGAGAATCTTGAAGGAGGACTATGGAGTAGAGCTTTAATAAGAAAAGCTCCCTGCACTGACAGCCAACTACCACTTTTTCCTTGTTGAAAACTGATGATTGCATCCTGCTCATGCATGAGGGTAAGGTTCCTGATTGTGCCACAGAAGGTTTTCAAACAGAGGGAATAGGAAAAGTGTGTCAGTTATTTCCCTGGAACTCTGTTCAGATTTCAAGGCGAGTGGAATCAGGACTATCTCTAACTGGGCTGGGTTGATTTAATCTCTTTCCAGATGATTGACATTTTCTGCTCAACAGAGTTCAGGGACTGGATTTGCGGGAGTATTTGCATGAGTGTTGAAGATGAACTGGAAATCCCACTGGCACCGAACTGTCACCATTTCCAAATCTGAACTTATCACCCTTGCCCCACCATCAAAACTGCTCCCCCTCCTGTATTCCTGACCTCCTCCAGGAGCCTGCTACGCCCTTCCTTTCTCACTTCCTGCTTCCTGTCCTGCTCAGCCTTCAACCTGGGTGGGTTGTGGGTTCTAACATCCTGAGCCACCAGGCAGCCAGTACCTGACCTCCTCTCCTTCCCTTCTTTCTCCCTTACAGCATTTCTATTAGTTCAGGTCCTTGTTCTTTTGCCTGGATGTCTCTAATTGTCTTAACTGGGCTCCTTGCTTCCAGTCTTATCCTCTTTCATACTGACCCAAGAATGATCTTGCTAAATTGCAAATCTAAGCATGTTTCTTCCCTGCTTGAGTTTCTCCATTGGTTGCCTACCTACTTCAGGATAAAGTCCCAGTTCTCAAGCAACACAAGCAGGGTCTTTTATCATCTGGACCTTACTTGCCTCTTCAATCTCATCCCTACCGATTAATTACTGGATAGACCTGCTCTTCAGCCATAGTGAATTATTTACCATGCACAGATGCAGCCAGGCCCTTGTGCACCTCAGTGCCTTCACACGTGCTGTTTGTTATTGGGAATACCATTCACCCTCACCACCCCACTGTCCACTCTACCAAATGTCTCTTCATGGGGCTGAGGATATGACTCAAGTGGTAGCATGCTCGCCTGGCATATGTGCGGCCCGGGTTCGATCCTCAGCACCACATACAAACAAAAGATGTTGTGTCCTCCGATAACTAAAAAATAAATATTAAAAAAAATTCTCTCTTAAAAAAATGCCTCTTCATTCTCTTATCCTCAGCTTTCTTTGAATTTCTCCTAAGCTGAGTGAAGGTGTCTTCCTTTCATGATCCTACGACTTATATGATCACATTTACTGTTCTATATGTTGGGAAATCCTGTGCCCCTTTAGAATGGGAGCTCCTTGTGAGCAGGACTGTGCCTTTCTCATCTCTGAGTCCCCAAATCTTTGCACAGTATGGCATACAGCAGGCTTTCAACAAATGATTATTAAATAAATAAACAGTAGTGGTCCCTACAGAAAAAAAATCAATGTAAAAATCAGATGCTGCTTGATATTTTGTCCCTTCCTTTATACTTGTAATCATAGACTTGAAAGGGATTTTAAATGAAGTGCTTTCAATAGTAACTCCAAAGGAAGTCATCTAGACTCATCTTGAACTGTTAGCCATGGGGAGCTCAGCTTCTGAACATAAGCCTATTTCATTGTTGGATCATTCAGGGGTCCTTATTATACTACTAAAGTCTGCCTTCATTTAATTTCCACCTTTTATTTCTATTCTGTCCTTAGAGAGTACGTCAAGCAGGCCTATTTTCTTTTGCAAATTCGTACGATAGCTTGTTTGTTCATTCATCTTTAACCTCTGACTGACTACCTTCTATTTCCTCCAGGCAGACTATTTTAAATTTCCTTAAGTCTTCTCTACCTGATGTGATTTCTAAACCCAGTATCACTCAGGCTGCCATTTTGGATGTTTCTCTGTTTATGGGCCTATGCTGTGCATTATTTTCACGTACTCCCCATCCAACCTGGAGGAAAAGTAGTTGCCAAAACACTGAGAAAATTAGAGTATAACTTAGTAAAAGGTAAAGGGAGAATACATTTACAGCATTAAGCAATAAATGTTCCTCCTTTTCTATTTCTCTCTTAAACGTTTTAAAACATATTTGTAAAAGTATCTTAGTCATTCTGGTATTGGTCATTGAAATAATGAATAGCATTTGGTAGTAGTTTGGGATCAGTACCAAGGTTCTCAGCCTCTAACATGCATAGAGTTCACCCATCCATACCACCAACATTCAGAATCTTGATGTTCACACCTAGGAGTCTATATTGTGAAGAAATACCCTGCCAGACATTGAGGATGGGGACTGAGGACCCTGTTCCCTTCTAAGTACTCTAGTCTCATGAAGGCCAAACCTGTGAGCAGGTATTTGAAGCTGCATTGTAGGCTCTCAGAGCTGTTCAGACAAAGGCCTTCCAGGAATCAGTGGGTTCAGCCTAGCTGAGTCTTGGAATCATTAAGAGAGCTTAAATATTGCTGATGCCTGCCCCACCTACTGCCCAGGAACTCCTGCTTAATTGACCTGAGAGCAGCATGGGCATCTGAGTTGTCACATGCTCCCTAAGTGATTCAGGTGTGCAAGTAGAGCTGAGAATCACAGTATTGAATGAAGAATAATATAATAACTTGAGATGATTTTAACCATTGAGGGGATTGTGAAGCAAGGAGAGAATTAATAAAATATGACGGGATATTCTCTAGAGTGGCTGTACAACAGTCCAGTCCTACGGTACTATAATTACTACAAGTACTACAGTATTCCAGAATATTGGAGAACTGAGTTTCTGGTAGATGTTAGACAAGAGGCTACTTTCCTCATTTAAGCTTCCAAAACTTTGGTTTTGATTCTAGAATCTAGTAATTGAACAAAACATAAATCTACCTTTATTAGGGTTCTCCTGTTTTATATTCCCCCAAAGTGTAGTAATTTGGTCAGCTACCCAGAATTTTCTAATATAATTTTGGTAAGTTTACTTTTAAACCTCTGCCTGGAGGATCATCACATTCATCTTCCCCTTCATGCAGGTCTAGCAATTTCCAAAACGTCTGGAGAGACTTGGTGGTAAAGTAAGATGGATGGCCTGAATGAGACAAACCCACTCCATTCCTAAACACCCCCCTTTCAGGTTTTCTCCACATCTCACCCTGGTCACTCCATCAGGCCCCTCCCGAAGCCCCTGCCCCACACCCACAGGTTATCACAGCTGCCCTGCCCCACAGGCTGCCTGCTCTCATTTGCAGCTTGTGAAAGTGATTTTCTCAGCCCTCTCCTGAGATAATGTCCCGGTATAATGACTTTTAGTAGACACAGAAAGAACTCTCCAGTGTGTTTACACCCGACTCGCAGCCAGTAAGGAAGCTCATAGCCAAGTGTAAGCCACTGGGAAATAGAGGAGGGTTCAACTGGCTTTTCCCCTAATCTAATCTACCTCAATGACTTAGGGCTAACTGTTTCTAGAATGTTTGGTTACCAAGATAAGGTTGCTCATATAAATAAGTTATCATTGCAAGCCCAGCTCCTCACAGAACGTGGGAAGGTCAGCAGTCTGACCCCTTTGCTCTCAAGGGTCCTGCCTTTCCTCCTCTGGTCTCTCTCCTTCCCAGAGCCTGAGCCCTCTGACTTCTGGCTCATCTTCACTTATAGGCCCTGACCTCTTTGAAGTCTGATATTGATTACAGTGAGATGTCAATTCTCTGCTTGCAATAGGGCACCTGGAACTTATTCAGATAAGCAGAGGCGTTTCTAATGCTAAGGAAGCATGTTGGGAGCCATGACCTTCTTTTAAGTAATGGTGCTTCGGGAAAGGAGGATCAGGCCATTGAAGTGTCACTCTCTCTTTTTTATTAGTTCAGTTGCTTTTTCTCACCACAGGACACTGATTGAATTATGGAGCATTTTGGTTAAAATTTTGACCATGTATCTCTGCCCTCTAGACAGAAGTTTTGGACATTGAGATAGATGGCTGCTGCAGGTTGCCTGGTTTTCCTCACTCAGACTTAACTTTTCAGACAATAAATTTCCCTTAAGTCTATAAGTAAAACTGCTGTTTCTCTTTGTGCATTGGTGGTTGTTTTGTTTTTGCCAAATAGTATTAATTTTCAAACATCCCAAGGCATCCTGAGGAGCAGGACTTGCTCCTCCAAACTTTTTTTTTTTTTACTACCTCCTGATGAAAGCCAATGACTTTGATCTGTCACAAAAACAAAGGGCTTAGTGGCTTCCTCTGCCTCTCCACATTATCTTCTTCCTTGTGGGAAATGGGGTGGGGAGAGATCTGGAGAGGTACACTAAGAAGGAAAATGGCTTAGTAATCAGGGGGTGCCTCTCAACTAGATTGTACAAGAGAGTAAACTAGGCTTTCTAGAAAAAAATCTCAAAGGAACCTTTCTGAGTTATCACAAGGATAGAACATTTTAGACACACAAGAGAGAAATTATTACATACATTGGAGGCAGTGGGGCTTCATTCTTTCCTAGAACCTTGTTGAAAAGGCAGGTATGCTCCAGGAAAGAAGGGACCCTTGCATCTTGCTGTGCATGTGGGATGAGGAGGCAGCTGTAGGCATCTAGCAGGGTAAAGCATCCTCTTGGTTTTCAGAGGTTTTACTTGTGTGTGTGTGTGTGTGTGTGTGTGTGTGTGTGTGTGTGTGTGTGTTTTGCTTCAGATAAGGTCCAGGGCCCAGAATGATGCAAACAAACAAAAAAATGGTCTTTATTTTGAACCAGTTTAGTAACATCATCTCCCTTCATTCTGTATCTCAAAGTGAGGCTCCCTGACACCCCCCACGTTTTAGTGTGCAGAATTGTCCAGCATATAGACATTTCCTTTTATCTAACTGCACTGCTCATGCTTATATTCAGCAGTTCCTTCCCCACTCTATCACAGCTTCAGCAGTTCTAAATCTGGTTTGGGTCAAGTCTTTAGGGTATGATAACCAGCAGCAATATCACCTTGTTTATTGAGCTCCATCTTCTAACACCTGTCAGTGGTCAGTCGTTTTTCCACACCACTTTAGAACTTAGCTCCTTTTTATGGAGTCATTATAAGCAAATGTTGTGGTCTGTGGAGCCTTGGTGGTCTCTCTCTATATATGTCACATACACATATATAATTATGTATATGTAAAATCTTATAATGTTATATTTATTTAATGTGATCAGTAGTCTTGCTCCACATTATCCTCTCATAACCAGGATTTTACAAACACTTTCAGAGGAAGCTTGAGCACTGGTTACTCATTCCTGGGTCCAGTGTTCCCCATGATGCCTTCCAACTGCATTCATGGTGGCCAGTCCAGCTTAAGTGAGAAGGGGATATTGTCCATCCTTCAGGGTGAACATCCCAAGTGCCTGTGCACTCAACCAAGGATAATTTAAAGTTATCAGAAATCACTATAGATGTAACTCCCTCTGAAGAAAGAGTCGTCCTACCTTTGCTCAAGCACTGACTATGAATCCAGTCTGGCATTGATACCATTACTTCCCAGCATTCTTCTAGTCACTTTTGAACTCCACCATTAACTATTCCAACTAAAAAGAATCAGTTACTATCTTCTGGCCATACTGGTTGCTTTCTCAATTCTGTTGTGGATGTTGATTGAACATCCTCTAGGGCCTACAGTGCTCAAATATCTGTCCTTAAGATCCATACCTCATCTCCATCATTTGGCATTCCCAGCATCCATTAGAATCTATTTCAGTTGCCGTACTTTACAGAGTTTTTCCTGACCCTTTCCACAGAAAGCTTCTCTCCCTCTTCTGAACCCTCCTGGTGCTTTCTCTGGCCTTCTGTCGTGATTGCTGTCATGGTCTCTTTGGTTATTCCTTTGCTCTGTTCAGATCCTATTGGTCTTACCTCCTCTACCACTGAGCCTTGAGCCTCCTGACAGTGGTGGTTTTGTCCTAGACTCCTCTATATCTCACTCAGAACTTCAGTACTGACCTGAGTAAATATATTTTAGTTGATGTAAAAGATGAATTGGAGAGACTATCTTGAGTTTTCTTTTATAAATCTCACACTTGATGATCCAGCTATAATGTGTTACAGGTCCTTTAAAACAACAACACAAGAACTAGAAGGTCCTTCCTTCCTTCCTTCCTTCCTTTTCATCCTTCCTTCCTTTTTTTTTTTTTTTAAAAAAAGAAGGTCTTTTCTGAGGCCAGTGAAGTTGGGACACTCATCCACTATACCTCTTTTGGAAGATCTACAACCCATAGATCATGTGCTCAGGAGAGAAGCCCATTTTAATTTCACTGACTTCATTGTCTGCTAAACTTGTGTGCTCTCAAAACCATGTTCCCCTCTGCTTATGTACTTGCCCCCTACATTACACATGCATGGGAAATTTTTGTGCTAAGGATAAGGAATTAGGACAAAGGACTTCAAAGAACAAGGTGTTAAACCCTAGAAAGTGAGTGCCTTGGCTCTGAACAGAGGGCAAGAGAACCATCCAAATATCCCTCTTCTCCTCCCTGAATAGAACAGGGCCAGATGCTAGATGGTTTGTGGAATGAAGCTGGTTCCCTTTTTTTTTTTAATTGGCACTGGGAATAAACCCAGGGCCTTATGCATGCTAAGCAAAAACTACCACTGAGCCACACCCCAATCCATCTAACCCATGAAGTTGATTCTTTACAAGAATATAACCAGAATGAACTTATGACAAGTGAGTCTCAGGCAAAGCAGCTTGGCTTTCTTAAAAGCACATCTAATGAGTATTATTCACTACATGAAAAGCAGAAAGGAATTTTGTAACCAAATGAAAGAGTCTGCAAAGATGCATTACTCAGAACAGCCCCCTTGAACAAGGACAAGTGCTTCATAGAATAGCAGCTTGCTGCCTTCCCCAGGCTCCCATGATGCATGTCACCAAGTGGGTCATTCAGAAACAAACCTGGGCCTTGCAGGCATTGGGGGTTCAACAGCATGTCATAACAATAGACATACAGGTTTGCTTTTTTTTTTTAATTGTCTTTTTCATTTGAAATGAGTTCTACACCCAGCTAGACAAGCAGGTGGTCTAAATTGTCACTGTTTTCTAACTCCTCTGCCCACTTGCTACCCATCTGACATTCCTGTTTGATAACACCCATCATGTCCATGGGCAGCTAGCAGATCCCAGACCTCAGAGCCATGGCAGCTCCCTGGGAGGGAGGCCATCAGCAGACACTTCTCCGCTTATCTACCAGTGCTGGGGCGGGGCCGGAATGCAGTTTTGACTGGCGTGTGATGTTTCCTGTAAACATGAAGATGATTGCAGCCTGTGAGCCCCCAACAATGATGAAACATCCTGAGATGCAGGCGTGGGTTGGAGAGGTTCCTTCTGTCATCTTGAACAAGCCTCCCTGACTCCTGGGTCTTTGTGTTCTTTTCAGTTCCTCAGCACTTTGTTTGCCCCCCTAAACTTTGTCATGGAGAAAGTGGAAAGCATCCTCCCATCCAGTCTGTGGCACCAGCTGACGCGGATCTGAGGGGAACCACCATCCTTCAGCCTCCTCGCCCAGCTAGCTGCCACTGGCTCTTCTGTGCCAACTCCTCGTGGACCGCAAGAAAGCATGACTTTGAAAAGGGAAGCCATTCCGAGATTTTAAAATGTTCATGGACTGTCTGTTCCATATTAAAAGCTGTTTTTGTTGTACAAAATCCATTGATGTTCAGTTCTATTTTATTTTGCCTCCAGAAAAGAAGAAAACAGTAAAAAATAAACTTTTGTGTATTGCAGCAACCAGTTGTGTCTTCTTATATATTCCTTCCAACCCTAAAAATGTTGGTGTTCCACATAAACCTGTGGATTGACATTAATTCCCTGGATCCCAGGTCCACTGAAATGCCACCCTGTGGTGTCCTTTGCTGATGGAACTCATCTCAGCAGGTCCTTAGAATCCATCACAGCTGGTAAATTAGAAAATGAAATGGCAAAACTACTAACCCCAAATCAAATATCCTCATAGACCATGGACACACACACACACACACACACATATGAAAAGCTTCCAGAATCAATGTCAGGGAGCATGAATGAAACAGAGGTTATGTGCCTTCATAGGTTCTAGCTCAGAGACTCTACTTATTATACAGTACTCAACACTGCAGTTCCAGGAATCATTTTATGTTCTCTGTTTGAAAACTAGTTGTGCAAAAGCAACTTCTGATGAGACTCAACCATCTATTGTAGACCCTAACTACCTACATTGCCAAGGTTTTCCCATAAGGAAATTTCATAGTTTTTAATTGTGTTTGCATTCCTGATGCTTAATATGAGCATTCTTTGAGCATTTTAGTGATCTGAACCAAAATTATCATTTGTCCTCACCTTTAAAAAGCCTTCCACATGATTCATACCTTGCAGAGCATCTGGCTTTACTTAAGCAAGAGAAGAAAAATAAATAAACTGGAATCCTCTATCTGAAGTAAAAAGCACTTCTATTTAAAAATCTGAAACCAGTGCTTTAAAAAAGGACTGTCCTTTACATAGTTTGTTTTCCCTTTTATTTAGAATCCTGAACCTTCCGCACTGTGTTATGGTCAATGGTGTGCAAGGGAGCTCTACCCAGGCTCTTTCCCCGCTGACCTGTGGTTGGTTCCTGGTTTCTGCCCAAGAGCAGGACAGAAATTGAGGAGCATGTGGCCTTCTGATACTTTGGTAGACTTTTCCTTTTTGTGCAAAGCCCTGATGGGAATATACAGCTTGTTTTTCCTCTCAAAGAAAATTTCCGGTAAGAGCTTGATCCCATATACACACCAGTCATATTGTTTTGGGGGGCAGCAGCCATATCTGCCTTGTTGAACTCTTGGCCTCTCCTTCCTGCACAAGCACTTGACAGAGTAGATGCTCAAATGATTGGATGAATGAATTGGTGTAGTACATGATGGGTACTAACATTTTTATCTTTTTAGGGGAGAGAGATTGGCTGCAGCTGAAAAGGACCAGGAAGGCTTAGAATTGTAGTTTAGAGCTAGAAGAAAAAGAAATTGTTTAATATATTTTAAATTGATGTTTAATATGATTTAATAGATGAGGAAACAAGAGATTCAAGCCAGAATTACAGATTGTGATAAGGCCTAAGTGAAAGGTTTGAGAGCTGTAGGGTGTGGGAAGTGGCAATGGCCCAAAGCAAGTTATTGATAGAAACCCCAAGTTACAAGAAATGCAGCAAAGAAATGTAAGCCAAGGATTTAAATGTGCCTAGTGAATTTAATAATTTGGACTTGCATGGGAAGCCAAGACTTCACGGGGTAGAGAGAGTGAATCAGAGGGATACAGGTAGAAAACAGATGCAACAGAGAGAAGACACAGAGGCGAGGCAGTGAGAGGAGGGATCACTGAAGGAGAGAAGTCCATGGACCAGAAGGGGAGCCAATCAGACGAGGAGAAAGGAGACATTTCTGAATTTGAGGGAAGCAAATTATATGAACTTATTAGACCTTCACCCCATAATCCAGAGTTGCTCTTCAGGTAGAGACCGTTATATCAGTTCCCCCTTCCTTCCACTACCTTTTCAACGATTCCACCCAACTCTTGAGCAAACCCACAACTCACTTGGAATGCTGGCCTCCCATGGCCTGGATGCCATGGAGGTTGTTGTCTTCTAGCTCTGTCGTGTTTTGCTGCCGCAAAGGACCAGTGTTCAAGCTGTTTTTATTTTGAAGGTTTTATATGTCTCTGAAGAGGCAAAGTCAGAGTAAACAAAAATAACAGCAAAAGTGTAGATGATGATGTTTTTTTTTGGTGCAAGTTCTTATGCTTTTTTACACAAGGTCCAGGAGGGTTCCCAACTTTCATGGAGGTGACAACTGGAATCCAACTCTCCCTCTGCCTTCTGCTTCTATTTCTACATGAAAGTGTATCAACATCTTTTCTGATGGGCTTTTCTATGAAGACTCTTCCAACAGGAAAGTAAGTGTCCCTTACTTATAACTAATATGGATTTGGTGATACAGATGCAAGCATTCTAATTTAATATAATCAAATTGAATCTACCAGGATATATAGGAAATAATACAATATGACCAAATGCAATGAACTATAGGTTTGTTTTCAACTTCTTTATCAGTACTTACCAGTATCAAAGTCATTACAGCTTTACAATGAATTGAGGATCCCTTTTTATTTTTATGTGGCCTTTAATAAAACCTGAAATTATTATCTGATTTCTAAATTAGATAAAATTGGACATAAAACTTCTTATTTTTGCTTTGTTGATAGTAGATTTCCCTCTAACTGCTATAGTGATCAGTTTATGCAGATTTTTCACTTCTTACTTAGTTTTTCTAGGAAATTACCATTTTCTGTAGGCATTTAACTATTTTACCACAGAGTAGCAGGATGTATCATTCATGTATTTAATCTATTCTGTATCTGTGGTTATTTTTCTTTTTTTCATTTCTGATTGTATTCTTGCTGTTCCCTCTTTCTCACTTTTAATTAGCCTCACAAACTTTATTTTATTCTTTCAAAGAAACAAGTTTTTGATTTACCAATGCATTCAACAATCATTTTTATGTGATTTATTAATTTCAGTTTTTATATATTTATTTGCGCATGCTAGTTTCTCTTATCTATAAGAAGTATAGTCTTTCTAATTTTCTTAGATGAGCTTGTGGTTTACTTTTATTTTATTCTAAAAACAGGTGTGTGTAAGGCTCTCATGTTTCCTGAGGTATTTTTAAAGAACATTTAAAAATTACCACAGATACAGAATAGATAAAATACACAAATTAGCTTTATTTTTCCATACATTTTACTATGAAGTATTCTCCTTTTCATTTTTTTCCCTAGAAATTTAGAAATTCCTGTTTTGGTTTTTCCTAAAGGAGTGATCATATGTGAGTATTTCCTAATAATTGGTTCTCTATTACTGCCTTTAAGGAATGAGTTTTTAATGTTATTGTACAAAATCTAATGGAAACATAAAAGCACAATATACCTTATTACTTCACAGCCAGAGGTCACTTCTAAGTAAACTTTTGATCCTTTGTTTTATGTTTTTTAAAAAAACTGTATCTTAATGTGAAAATTTAAGGGCATTGTCAAAGTGTTGAAGACATGTTTATGCTCCTTCCATGGATTCTCATTTTTCTCATTGCTCATGACATGCACTTCACCAAGCTGAAACAAACCTGTATGCTGAGTCCCCCCACCCCCCAAGAGCTGAGAGCTGCAGGTGAGTGGCACCTTTAGTAAATACTGAAAAGGAGAAGCCATTTTGCTTCTGCTTTGCAGTAGTGACAGCTAGGGCTGGTTGTTCTAGGAGCTGGAATGTCTGGAGGGCTAGGGGTTGGGAGGTCTAAACCGTGCTTGAAGGACCTAGTCTTGTCATTCTGGGTTTTGAGGTTTGGGATGGCTAAAGCTGAGCAGACAGAAATGGTTGAAATGAAAATGCCCAAGTAGAGGTGGACTGGACCTCTACCAGAAATGTTCTGGATAGCTGCACAGGCTTGAGGGATGATGACCTTCAGGTGACTTCAGTTATCTCCTTCAGAGTAATATTCACAACTCTCCAGCAGGACCAAAGACGGCAGACAGGAAGCAAGTTCTCTTTCCCTCTTCTCCATCTTGTCTCCTGTCATGTTTACTCCCAGTGGGTTCCACAGGCCCTTGGGTCCCACCATGTAGGTAACCCACCATAGGAAGAAAGTTGTGGCATTAGAAACCTCAACTGACTGTCATTAAAAGGCAAGCAAGCATCAAGAGGGTGTGTTTGTCCAGGGAAGGGGCAATATAGGGGTTTTACAGAGTGTGTAAGGAAAATAATTTTTAAAAGTTCTTTAAAAACACTGCTTTCTTCTCTGAGCCCCCATCCCACTAAGCCAGGGGGATTTCATCTCAGTCATGAGCAGGGTTCTGTCCACCCCGAGACTGGATCTGCATTCAGAAGGGCCATGTCCCGGTTGCTTCTAAAAACATGGCATTGTTAGGTTAATAGCATTTCTAATGCCCTTGGCTACCTGCTTTAGTGGTATGCACAAGCTATAGGACCTCAGTGTTCCTCTGGGACCAGGTTCCCCCTATGTGTTCCTTGACACCCCCTTCTGAGGTCTGGGTGCTGCCTTTCAGTTTCTGATGTCTTCCCCACAGACACACAGGACATCTCTACAGGCCTCTCCAACTACAAACTCTTTCAGGTTGTTTCTGCCTGATGATTTTCAGGAACAAAACACTGCAAACTCTGGGCTCCTCCTTAAAATGGCAAAAGGAAAAATGCAAGAACAAACATGAATTAACACCTCTAAAATATTTGCTCTACAAATCAGATAAACTTCTTCACATTCAGTGCAAATTAGATTCATTTGTCCACTTATTCCTTCACTAAAATTATCAAGGACCTCCTATGTGCAAAAAAAATATCGTCATGCCTTTCCAATTGCACCTTGAATGGCAGTACTTTTTTCATGATTCTTACTTTGTATATTCACCTGTCTGTCTCCTCCACTGAACCACAAGGAATTTGATTTCCACGGTATGATATTCTGAGGATACTAGACACTCATAACATAGCTCACTCCTGGGACCAAGTCAAATGATGATTTTTCCCTACCAGCAAGCAATTTTACATTGCGCATCAGCTGGGCATTCTCTACTCTAATCCAATTGTGGTGGTATGTACCTGGAGATAGTGGTAGATTTTGCAGGTTGAGGCCTTAGTCCCAGAGACTGCCCTCACTTCAGACACCAATCAAAAGCCTGGGACTACGGAACTGCTGACCTCCCAGCTACCAGTTGGG